AGATTCTAGTTTGCAGTGGGGTTTTGCTGCAGTATCGATGAGTATAGCAAAAGGACAGAAGAGTCCCTCATTTAAATAGATTGTGCAGGGGTTAGTGAATTTTTTAATCAGATGAGGCTACGTTAGTATGTTGATGCATAAAACTAGGAACAATCTATTGGTGCAGACTTCCTGAAGTATGGTTCTCCTAAAGTACCCTGACGGTATAGCATTGCAATGTCCTTTCCTGCGTAAGAGTAAGAGGATGTGCGTGGATGTTAGGTTAGACTCTGATCTCTTCATCAGTTTGATGCATTTTTCTGGAAACCTAAGATTTTCTCACCAACTTTGGTGGGAGGATCCAGGAAAGGAAAAAGAGAAAAAAACTGGACACTGTCCGTCTTGAACTCCCAGTATGAGTAATCTAGACAACCTTCAGAATTGCAAGCTAATCTTTCTTCTTATCATGATTTCCTTTGCTGTTGGAGGCATATTTGTAACCAGGCATCTCCCGAAGAATCTCTAAGGCCCTATTATTATGTTGCCTCGCAATACTGAAAGCTAATCTGTTCTTTCAGTTTGAGTAATTCTTTTAAAAGGATGAAACTGAAGGATGAATGGATGAAAAGCAGGGGATTGGTTCAGACTGTCATAGATACTTAGGCAGCTATTATGCACAGCAATGTTTCATTAGATGGTGACCAGGCACCTAAGGTTCTCTGAAGATCTGTGTCTTAGTAAATAACCTTGAAGATGTGGTTTGTCTCTTACAGGACATTTCTTACCACTTTTTCTTGTTAACTGTTAGATCATAGAATCATAGAATTGGTTAGGTTGGAAAAGACCTTTAAGATCATCAAGTCCAACCATAAACCTAACACTGCCAAGTCCACCACTAAACCATGTTCCTAAGCACCTCATCTACATGTCTTTTAAATACCTCCAAGGATGGTGACTCAACCACTTCCCTGGGCAGCCTCTTCCAATGCTTGGCAACCCTTTCGGTGAAGAAATTTTTCCTCATGTCCAATCTAAACCTTCCCTGGCGCAACTTGAGGCCATTTCCTCTTGTCCTATCACTTGTTACTTGGGAGAAGAGACCGACACCCACCTCGCTACAACCTCCTCTCAGGTAGTTGTAGAGAGCGATGAGGTCTCCCCTCAGCCTCCTTTTCTCCAGGCTAAACAACCCCAGTTCCCTCAGCCG